CATTAGCCATTAGAGAGATGCAAATCGAAAACAACAATGAGATACTATCTTGCCCCAGCACTACTAGCAAAGTTCAACAAGACAGAAAATAACAAATGCTGGCAAGGATGCAGAGAGACTGGGACTCTCATACACTGCTGGTGGGACTGTGAAATAATACAACCACTGTGGAAAGCAGTATGGCGATTTCCTAAAAAGTTGGAATTAGAAATACTATCTGACCCAGCCACTCCATTACTAGGTATATATCCTAAAGAAGTGAGAGCCATGGCAAGAACAGATACATGCATACCCATGTTCATCGCAGCACGATTTACAATAGCCAAAAGATGGAAACAACCTAGGTGTCCATCAACTGAAGAATGGTATATACACACAATGGGATACTATGCAACCCTAAAGAATAACGCAGAATCTGCAAAACACCGCATAAGGTGGATGAACTTGGAGGACGTTATGCTGAGTGAAATAATTCAATCACAGAAGGAGAAATAGTGTATTAGTCCATTATTGTAAAAAGTCAAGGAAAGGTTTATATATGGAAGGAAATTTTCTTTGTTGGTTTACCAGGGGTGGGAGGGAAAGGGAGAGAACACTGTTAGACAGGTAGAGACAAGTATTGATTTGGGTGAAGAGAAGGGCAATATACCAAATGTTAGTGATAAACATGGTGGCGCTGAGGAAGAGGAAGATATAGAGAGGTACATGGGAGGTACAGACAACAAAGATGAACCCTTTCCCACATACAGTACTGCATTGTCAGTGAAGGCAAACATGGATATATGGGTGGATAGGTGGGTGGACAGCCTGAACTATTAGCTATGTCTATGCAGTGGGGGAGTGTGCCCAAGATCATGTATAGGGTTGGCAGATAAATGTTTCTACAAGTATATGTGTATGTTCTGTAAGAATTCCCAGGTATATAGTAGAGCTGACAAGGGGCAAGGTTGTAGTCACTTCTTGGCCACATCCAGCACCCAGAGGGAGTGAGTAGTTGGACCTGTGGGTTGGGTACCATAGTCACAGTGGACATCAAGCTCAATTGGCATAACATACTACACAAAACATTATTCCACATCCTACTTTGGCAAGTAGCAACTGGGATCTTAAAAGCTTACAAGCGGCCATCTAGCTGCAACAATGGGTCTCTCCTTGTCCAGAGCAGAGAAGAATGAAAAAAACCAAAGATTCATGGAAACAATTAGTCCAAGTGACTAGTACACCATGCAATCCTCAACCTATACAGCTGTGAGACCAGAAGAACTAGATGGTGCCCAGCTACCACTGTCAACCTCTCGGAGGGGGCTCTATGTAGGTGATCCTGGATAGAGTGGGAGAACAATGTGGAACAAAACTCACAATTATAAAAAAAATTTAAAAAGAGGGCCAATTTTGCTGGTCTGATAGAGCTTGATGGAACCACTGAGACTATGGCTCCTGGCTGCCCTTCAGGTCTGAAATTGAACCCACTCCTGTGGTTTCCAGCTAAACAAAAGACAGGCATATGAGGTGAACATTTACATTAGGTAGATACATTCCTCAGAGAGAATTATGGGAGAATAGAATGGCTGTGTATGCACAGGGAGACAGCTCAGGGGGCAGGAGTACATGGCGTGCAGGACACAGGGAAGAGGTAACTATGGGGAGGAAGTGGGTGGGGAGCTGTTGCATTGTGGAAAATTATAGTCAATGTCATGAGACAAAGTGTATGTGAGCTGCTGTATGGAAAGTGAATTTGCTCTGTAAACTTTCACCCAAATGACAATTAAAAAAAAATTTTTTTAAAGTAGTTCATTCAACAAACACTTCTTCAACTATATGTGCCTTTGCTCAACTATTTTCTCTGCCTGCAATGCCTTCCTCTCTCCCTACCGCCCTTCATCTCTTTAACTCTTTCTTGTCCTTCAAAACTCAGCCCAAACACCACCCTCTTTAGGAAGTATTCTCTGATGTACTTGCTTCCACAGCAATACCTAAGAAACAAATACTTATTATACCATTTTTATTGACCTGCTTAAATGTTTTACCTTTTACTCTCATTCCAGGGTTATCTAGTGCCTCCAAACATCTTTAGTGAATGAATGAAGCTCCTGTGAAGTTCAGGGAGCTAGAGATAGAAATGACTCAGAAGCAGACCCTGCCTTCAGGGAGCTCATTCACAAACTAAAGGAGAAAGGAGATAGACAATCGCAGCTCACAACAAAATGAAGTAAGTAATAAATAATAGCACAGACAGAGGAAGCTTCTGGTAAGGAAGAGAGTCTGTGCTCAGGCTTTGTAAGAACACATGTACAGGTCCCTGAACCTGCAACAAGTTAATCAAATGCACAAACTGGCCTTACAAATGACCTGCACACCTCTCACCATTTGGATCAGAGAAGATAAGTACATTTGCAATTAATTTCTTTCTTTCAAGTTAAATTGTATTTAAGCAGCTAGATATTTTTCCATTCATGTGGTTGTCTTGCCAAGCTAAGTGCAGACCAAGGAATGAGAGAGGGAGGCCAAAAGAAAATAAGTGTCATTCACAATCTTTAATCTGCAGTTGTGTGTAGGTGTTGTACTAGTTCTATTACTGGTCTTCAAGCAGCTGGTTCACTAAGAAGGAAATAAAGTTTATGAACAGATTTGCTGTAACCATAAAGGATTTTTCCCCTGTGACTAAGCACTAAAATGATAGGTGTTAAATAAATACAAAAGGAGAGAAAGATTTCCAGAAAAAAACACTGTCTTGATCAACCAAGTGACTGTCTTGAGAGTGGGTGGGGGAGAGTCAGAACTTGCTGAGTGGTGGTGTTCTGACTTTCTGTTCTCAGTCTCTGATGACGCTCACCCCGCAAGTTCCCTTGGAAAGGACACAGGCAAGACAGAAGAAGTACCTCCGCAGTTCATTCATAACCTTGAACGCCTTCCCCATGTGGGCCGGGTTGATAGTGATCATCCTCTGGTTCTTCTCATCATCCCCAGCCTGCATTGGGGGCTGGGAGCTTGATTTGATGCTGTGAACAGGAAGAGAATGGAGAGGAAAGAAAGAATCACACATTGGTAAACCCATTAGTGCAACCACCACAATCTATGCATTTTTCCACCTACCAGAGGCATCTCCGCCAGCTTGTTATCATAGATTCATCAAGGAAGGAAATACAGTGGGTCAGGCATTTCTGCACGATCTTCCAATGAAAGTGTATTTCTCTGGAGGAAGCCAGGGTCTAGATGAGCTTCTTCTACCAAATACGTGTGGGACTTTGTGGAAAGTCCTTTCCCCCATGTTAAAATAGGGAAGAGGACTAACCCTATATCATGTACTTCACAGGGATGTTTGTTCATTCAACACACATTTAATAAAGCTTAAGATGTACAGAGTACTGTGTATTTCAATTTAAGGGAGACACAACAATAAACAAGGCACAGTCCCTGTCCTTATAAAGCTTAGAGTTCAGTGGAGGAGAAAGTCAAGCAAACATTTGAACATCATTGTCTTAAATGTTGTAATTGGACAGAAGCTACAGAAGCACAGAGAATGGGGAGTTATCACAGGGCTGGCAGCTGAGATAAAATTTCCTGGAAGCTGAGACCTGAAGGAAGAACACAAATGACCCAAGTGAAAAAGAAGATGGAGAGTATTCTAGGCAGAAGAAACAGAATGCACAATCTGGAGAAGAAAAATGTGCCCAAAGTACTAGAATTTCAGTCAAAGTATAGAGTAGAGCACAAGAGGAGAGTACTGAGAGAAAGGGCTAGAAGAGGGGGTAGTCTTCTCAGTGTCTTTGAAGCAAAGCTAAGGAGTTTGGATTTTATTCTTAAACAACAAGAAGCCATCAAAGGGTTTTAAGCCAAAAAGTGGGGCAGGAAGCAGGTGAACAACTTTGTCTTTAGGAAGATTCCATTGGCTATGGTATGGAGAGCAGTGGCACAAGAGTAAAAGCTCTTGGAAAACTGTAATCCCTTAGAAAGACCAGAGATTTTAATTGTTATGGAAAGAAAGGCTATCTGTGTAGGCTAAGTGAGCAGGTGGTGACTACCAAGAGTTGCCTGTCATCTCAAACCCCTCTGTACTGAAACCAAGAGACAAAACACTCAAATCCCTATACAAGGCCAGCTAGCTGCTCAATTACTCTTGAGCAACATGTCTCAACTTCCTCGGGGGTGGGAGAGAGGGATCAAAAGGATAAGCAAAGAGGCACAGCAAAGAACTTTCTCCCCAAACTGGCAAAACTACAGAGCTCCAAGGTCAAGTCTGGGACATTTGCATTACCTCTAATTTAGGCCAAACTAAGTTTTGGTCTGCTGGTAGGAAGTAGAATGAATTTTCACTTATATAGGAGTCCCTGAGTATGCGAACAATCAAGTGCTCAGCTACTAACTGAAAGGTTGGCAGTTTGAATCCACCCAGAGGTGACTCAGAATAAAGTCCTAGCAACTTGCTTCTAAAACATCACAGCCATTGAAAGCCCTAGAGAGCAGAATTCTACCATGAAACATATGGGGTTGTCATGAGTTGGAATTGACTTGACAGCAACTGGGTTTGGCTTTGTTGTTGTTATTCCACTTGTATATATTTGGGAACATACAGCTCATTCCAACTCTAAGACAGTGAGGGTAGTAGTCTCCCTTGACTTTCCCCAATGGCCTTCTCTAGCCATGCTACCACATAGCCTTGAAAATTGGCTAGAAAAAGGAGCTTGGTGTGATTAAGAGAATGTTCCAGGATCTATAGATCTCACTCTGGGATTCATGCCTATTAGAACATTAAAATACAACCAACATGCTAGACCCACAGCTTGTCTGACTATGCAAACTCTTCCCTTGGCTTCCTGCCCTACTGTCAACTCAGTATGCAAATATAATCCATCTGAACTTTGGGATTGTTTGGATTCTAGAAGCAAGAAAGTTAACTGAGCACAAGAAGATAAAAATCAAGAGAGACACAATGGCAGATGATTAGTGTGGTAGTTATGTTTGTGTATCAACTTGGCTGGGCCTAGTTGAGTGGCTGGGCAGCTGGTGGTAGTTATTCCCCATGATGAGACTGGCAATCAACTCCATGGTGGAATCTACTGGGAGCAGCTGAGTAGCTGCCTTAGGGAATGTGGTCTGCTTCCTGTATACAAGCAGGAGCCTTTGGGAATGGTCTCTAGCTTATGGCACACTTGGACCCTGTATGTAGCCGTGTCATTGTTCACCAGACTGCCATGCTCTGCCGACCTTGAGACTTACAATGGACTTGAAGTAATGGCCTGCTATGTGGGTTGGTAACATCGGGACTGTGTCTTTTTACTTGTCAACCTTGGGTTTGTCAGCCTAAGCAGCCAGCAGTTCAGTAAAGAAAAGCCTCCAGTTTCAGTGGGCTAGGAACAGGAGGCAGAGCTACAACCCAAGGTTGAGGGGCTTTCACCCAGCCCCTAGAGCCTGGCACTTTGAACTTGGACTTAAAGCCTCCAAACTGTAAGACTATAAACTCCTATTTGTTAAGGCCATCCCATTTGTGGTATATTCTTGTCATAGTGGCACTGTTGCTGTTATGTGCCGTCAAGTCGGACCCGACTCATAGCGACCCCTCCTTGGGTTTTCGAGGCAGTATCACTATGGAAGTAGATTGCCCAGCCTTAACCAGAATAATTAGAATGTGTCTTTAAGTGGATAAAGAAAACCTCAAATCAGAAAACGTGACCAGGGAGATGAAGCAAGCGGCAAAGATTAAAAGCTTCATATTAAAAGTCCACAAACATAATTTCTTTTACAGGAAGTATCCTTTTCTACTCCAAAGCCAGAAAGATATTCATTTCTATTTTCTACTGAAAGCTTAATATTCTTGCTTTTCATATTTAAGCCCTTATTTTATCTGATGTTGACTTTCATGTTATGATGAGAAGTAAGGATTTAATTATTTTCCTATAAGTTCAACTTACTGAATGCTTCTTATTTTTCTCACTCATCCTCATACTACCTTAGTGACCTATCAAAGTTCCAAATATATAGGGATCTATTTCTGGACTCTGTAACCTACTCCATTTGTCAGTTTGTCTGCTTCTATAGCTTCATAATAGGCCTGATATCTGGTAAGGCAAGTTCCCAATTCTATTATTATTCTTCAGAAGTTTCATGATTCTAGTTTCTTTTCTTACTCTTCCATATAAATTTTAATATCAGCTTATCAAGTTTCATGAAAAATCTTGACAAGCCTTGATACAAACTGCACTAAATCTTTAGAACTAACATCTTTCAGATATTATTTCTTCATATCCATGAACATGGGGTACCTCTCCATTTATTTAAGTCTTCTTTAATGTCACCCAAACATTTTTACTCTTCTATATGAAGACCTCATGCATATTTTCAATTTATTCCTAAGTACTTTAAATATTTTGTTGAAATTTTATAATAGCAATATCTTTTTTAAATTATATTTTCTGATTGCTTTGGGTTCTAAAATGCAATTGATTTTTGCAAATTGATCATATACAGCCACCTTACCAAAAATGTCCTATTATTTCTAAATATTTGTCTGGAGATTCAGTTAGGTGTTCTATGTGGGCAATTATATTATATCCATAGAATACCAGGATTTGGTTGGTTGGGTGGGTGGGTTTTTTTGTTTTGTTTTTTCTTTCCAACTCTTAAGTCTCTATTTTTTTAAGGAAATTGTGTGTTGGCTAGGATGGTAGCACAATGCTGTCAGAGGGGATGCCAGTGAATATTCCTACCATATTCCTGATTTTAAAGATGTTTCTAATGTTTCCCCATTCTATTTGTTTCTTGTAGGAATGTTTTAGATGCTCTTTTATCAGATGAAGAAA